TAACAAGTGTAATATCCACTAAAGCACAGCTTAAGTATATAACACCAACAGGATCCTCAGTGTGTCGTACCGCCAAACACACCGGTTGCTCCACTTTTAAGGAGGTAGAGGGGTTCCGGGAACGCTGGACCTTAGCCAGCAGCCGTTGTTCCCGATCCTGGAGCTTTAGCACGCCGCCTTTGACAAGCACCTCGCAGCCGTGCTCGTCCAGTTGCCCGATGCTGATCATGCTTGAACGCAACTGCGGGATATAGTACACATCCGTCAATGCGTGGTGCTCGCCGTTCTGGCACCGGAAGATGACAATGCCGCGACCTCAAATTTCCACCTTCGAGCTGTCGCTGAACTTCACCGTCCCCGTCATGCCGTCATCAAGCTCCGAGAAGGCCTCCTTGGAGCCGGTCATGTGGTTGCTGGCATCGGAGTCCAAGTACCACCTCTGCTCCATGCCACCGCCCATTCGTCCAAGGTGGACTTGGGCACTTGACTCGTCGAGGTGAACGGCCTGCAGTACCTTTCCCTGCTCTGTAGCTGTTGCCTTGACTTCCTCCGACTCTGGCTCGATGTCGTGCAACTTGCAGGCCGTTCCCATGAGAATAGCTGGCTCCTCGTCGTCCACCTGCGCGAGGTGCGCCTCCCTCTTCTCCTTCTTGGGATTCTTGCAATCCAGTGTCCTTATCGATCGGACGTGCGTTGTTGCCGTCCTTTTTCTTCTGCGGGGCCTTGCCACGGCGCTTGCCGTAGCCACCACGGTTGGAGGAGCCTTACCCGGGTCGCCGCTCGCGCATACGAGCTGCCCAATCTTCCTCGGTCAGTAGTAATTTGTCGCTGGTAGTTATCTTTGCCATCTCCACACGGTCATCCACTACCCGCAAGCGCCCAATCACATCCTCAATCGTGAGGGTGGACATGTCGATCAACGTCTCGATGGAGAGCGCGATTTGGGCATACTTAGGCGGCACGACGCGCAAGTATTTCGCGACCGCCTCCTTGTCGGTGATGATGACGCCGTGAGCTGCCAGATAACTGACGAGCGACTGCAAACGGAGCGAAAAATCCTCCACTGCCTCGCCGTCGCAGAATGCCAGCGCCTCGTACTCCCGCCGCAGTTGTTGCGCCTTCGCCTTCTTTACGCGATCAGACCCAATGCGCATGGCCTTGAGGGCGTCCCAAGCAGTCTTTGCGGAGTCCTTTGCGCCCAGCGACTCCACGTACTCGTGAGGCACAGCGGACAGAATCACTTCCATCGCTGCACAGTCCTCTTCTTCATCCTCGGTGCCTTCATCGATGGCCCGCCAAAGCTTGCGCGCACGTAACTTGACCTTCATCAGCACCGCCCACTCGCCGTAGTTTGTGCGTGTAAGGACCAGCCAGTTGGCCCCGCCAACGTCTCGCACGGTCCTGTGGATGATGACCTCCTGGCGCGGTGAAGCGTCTGCTCCGCTCCCTTGCACCATCGACGCAACATCTTGGCTTGCCATGGCTCTGATGCCACTTGTTAGTCTTTAATTGCTACTGCCGGCTTTTCTTCTCAACTTGGATGTTGTATTTGCAGCTGGGCTGCACTATTCGGTTAAGCAAAAATGCTTCCCAGAACAAACAGACACTTTTAGGATAGAAGAAGAAGATTTTGAACAACTCAATGTATTGAGTATTCAGATTTTATGTGTGTGTGCTTACAAAACAAAAAATTGCATCCTTATTTATAAGAACTAAAAAGCAACTATCCTAGTGACTTTCCTAGAAATTACTTAAGTTGAAAAGTCATGAAAAATCAGCCTACAATAGCTGCCATGAAAGTGCTTTGCAACTGCAAGGAAGTTGCAGCTGCACTAACAAGGAAACTGCCAGGAAAAACAGCAGATTATATCTTACAAGTTTTTATGTTGGAAAAAAATAATCTATACTTATATAATAAGGGGATTCTATTTATCACATTTAGCAATTAATTAACTTCTATTTTCATCAACAAAACTTTACAACAGATTTATTTATTTCACAATTACATGTCGGTCAACATTAAAATTACTTCCCAACTTAAACCGTCCATCACGCGTTTTTTTTTTCTTTTTGTGTGTTGAATCTTTTATTAAATGCAAATATAAATCTATACTTATATAAAGAGCCATTTTATTTACTAAAATTAGTAGCAAAAGAATAGGTCAACATTTAATGCAACCCATAAATAGTAGTTTTATTATTTTTCTTATTTTATTTTTAAAAAAATTAAAATTTAATTTATAAGTACGCTTTAATATAATCATACAATTTAATTTATAAAAATAATACAATTTAATTTTTTTCTTTAAAAATACGCTTTAATACACACACACACACACACACACACACACACACACACACACACACACACACACATATATATATATATATATATATTACTTTTTTAAGAAATTGAATAAAACATGTTACTTAAATATCTAAATAATTTAAAAATTCAAATGTATAAATTAATTGATAAACAATTTATAAATTTCTATTTATTTAAATATTTAATTTTATTTAAAATAATTTTAAATATAGCCAAATTTATTTAGAAAATCATATCGATCCAACCAGTTCAACCGACTGGTGTTGACGAATTCAGTAGCAAATATTTTATTTAAGTGAACTAGACTAATTATAAACTGGTTCTCGGTTCATTCGGTCGGACTGTGTCTAATACGGTTTAATTTAAAAATGATGGGTAAGTCTTGATTAATTTTTTTGTATCTTTAATTTATAACACAATCGTAATATTGTTTTCCCGTGCATCGCACGGGCCACGCATTAGTAATAATAATAGTTGAGAAAAACTCAACTATAAATGCACTCAAAACCTATGTGGAAAATGAAAAAGACAATAATTTTGTTGAAACAAACATAATAATATGAGAATATCATCAATACTTAAAAACCATAATTGAGAGAAAGAAAAACTTATAAGGTCATCACAATGTACTTCAACAAAATGAAAAGTAGGTCACCAAGTTTTAGTAGCAAAACAGACGTTAAAAAGTAGAAGTCAATTGTCATCACCAAGTTTTAGTAGCAGGGCAGACATTAAAAAGTAGAAGTCAATTGTCATCACCAAGTTTAGTAGCAGAACATACATTAAAAAAGTAGAAAACATCACCAAGTTTTAGTAGAGGACATCCCAACCATGTACCCTGCACCAAGCCTCCATCACCCTAGATTGTCTAACCCCCACTTGACCATTCTTTCGTGGAAGTACTTCTCGTATAAATTCTCCATCAGAGACGTTACAATAGTCTCCAACAGCCCCACAGTCATAACTTTTTCGGGACCTTCCCGGCTCAACCAAGTATGTATTCTCCCAATAAATCAACAGTGTTGTAACCACCGTAAAAAACAGTTGGTCGTGCTTAATGATCACGTATGCAAATATAGCGTCAATCAAGAAAGTTAACCTAAAAAGGTGAGCTATCATAACAACTTTCTGTATACCGCAAATATAAAGCTCTACAACTGCAGACAACCCAAGTTGGAGCATCGCGTTCATGATCTCTCGTGCAACGAAGAATGGGTAGTAGATCCACCTAGAGATCATTGAATGTAAATCACTTGCAGCCCAACCAAGACAGTACTTAAAACTTTCAATGTAGCACTCAAATGATGTTTGACAACTTCCATCACAATTGTTGTCAACCCGAATAAAACGTGAAGCTCGTACTTACTGATCAAATTCCCGAAAAAGGCATTAACCATCAATAGTAGGCTATGTTGGGCAACAATGGCGAAAATTGTCTCTATCCAACTCAGCATATCTACACCTACCAACACAACAGATATCATCCACAAATCTACTAGCAGTCGCATCAAAAAATTAGGCAAAAACGTCCACTTTATATACAGTGCCTTCACCATCGGTAGAATCATGATACAAGAAAGCAAGATGAGAATCACATGCACAAACAATGGCAAAGTTTGCTTGTGTTTCTTAAAGGATCAGCATCTTGAATGATATCGTGAATATCATAAGCCACAAGAAATGAAAACAAATATTATCCTCATCTACAAAGGTAACTTTATTGGTATCTTGAAAATAAAGAATGCATATTACTACACCTAGAATTCAGTGTGCATATGTTTCCAAATATAGGCATTCTTTATTTTCAAGATGAAAATAAAGTTACCTTTGTGGAGTAACATGCATTCTTTATTTTAGGTGTAGTAACATGCATTCTTTATTTTCAGGATGCCAGTAAAGTTACCTTTGTGGATGAGGATGATATTTGTTTTCATTTCTTGTGGGCTTCTGATATTCACGATATCATTCAAGGTTCTGATCCTAAAGAAACACAAACAAACCTTGTCGTTGCTTGTGCATGTGATTCTCATCTTGCTCCCTTGTATCATGATTCTACCGATGGTGAAGACACTGTATATAAAATGGACATTTTTGCCTAATTTTTTTATGCAACTGCTAGTAGATTCGTGGATGATATATGTTGTGTTGGTAGGTGTAGATACCCTGAGTTGGATAGAGGCAATTTCGCCATTGTTGCCCAACATAGCCTACTATTGATGGTCAATGTCTTTTTCGGGTATTTGATCAGTAAGTACGAGCTTCACGTTTTATCCGGGTTCACAGCAATCGTGATGGAAGTTGTCAAACATAATTTGAGTGCTACATTGACAGTTTTAAGTACTGTCTTGGTTGGGCTGCAAGTGATTTACATTCAATGATCTCTAGTTGGAACTACTACCCATGCTTCGTTGCGCGAGAGATCATGCATGCGATGCTCCAACTTGGGCTGCCTGCATTTGTAGAGCTTCATATTTGTAGAGTACAGAAAGCTGTTATGATAGCTCACCTTCTTGGGTTAACTTTCTTGATTAACGCTATCTTTGCATACGTGATCATTAAGCAGGACCAATTGTTTTTTACGGTGGTTACAACACTGTTGATGTATTGGGGGAATGAAAACTTGGTTGAGCAGGGAAGGTCCCGGACAAAGTTATGATTGTGGGGCTGCTGGCGACTATTGCAACATCTCTGATAGAGAATTTATACGTGAAGTACTTCCACAAAAGAATGGTCAAGTGGGGGGTTAGGCAATTTAGGATGGTGGAGGTTTGGTTGAGGGCACGTGGTTGGAAGGTCGTCTACTAAAACATAGTCTATTTTTTTAGTTTCTGCTCTAAAATTTGGTGATGACTTCTACTTTCTTAATCTGCTTGCTACCAAAGTAGGTCACCAAGTTTTGGTAGGTCACCAAATTTTTTAATGGTATCCTGAAAATAAATAATTCATTGTGAAAAAACACATATCCGATATAATTCACTACAAGAAATACACCTATATCATTATCGGTGTATGTTTTTCAACTAACTCTCTGTTCGCAGCCTCGAGCTGTTTAAAATAATAAGTACTCCAATGCACTGCAAATAAGTATAAAATGATCAAAGCAAATGAATCTATCCAAATAATAAATAAGTCAAAAAATATAAACGTGCAAATAAATTAAATGTATAAAAATACGCTATTAAATATATAAAACGTGCACATTTTTTTTACCTATCAGAAATCAATTGTCATCACCAAGTTTAGTTGCAGAACATATATTAAAAAGGTAGAAAACATCACCAAATTTTCGTGTGGGTGTCGGCATAATGATAATCGCGATGACGATAGCAGTGATTAATAGGTGGAGCTACTACTCATGCTTCTTTGCGCGAGCTATCATGAATGCGATGCTCCAACTTGGGCTGCCTGGAGTTGTAAAGCTTAATATTGGTTGGGTAGAGAAAGTTGCTCTCATAGCTACACTTTTTGGGATGACTTTCGTGATTGACGTTATATTTGCGCACGTGATCGTTAAGAACGACCAAGTGTTTTTGAAGGGGTTACAACACTTTTGATGTATTTGGGGAATAAATACTTGGCTGAGCCGGGAGGGTCTCAAAAGACAAAGTTATGACTGTGGGGCTGCTGACGACTATTGCAACGTCTCTGATGGAGAATTTATACGAGAAGTACTTGCACAAAAGAATGGTGAAGTGGGGGGTTAGGCAATTTAAGGTGGTGGAGGTTTGGTTGAGGGCACGTGGTTGGAAGGTCGTCTACTAAAACTTGGTCTATTTTTTTAGTTTATGCTCTAAAACTTGGTGATGACTTCTACTTTCTTAATTTGCTTGCTACCAAAGGAGGTCACCATGTTTTGGTCAGTCACCAAGTTTTTTAATGGTATCTTGAAAATAAATAATTCATTGTGAAAAAACGCATCCAATATAATTCACTACAAGAAATACACCGATATCATTATCATTATCGGTGTATGTTATCAAATTACCTTTCCCCGTATCTTTCAAGTAACTCTCTGTTTGCAGCCTCGAGCTGTTTGTTCCTAGCCTCGAGCTGTCTGTTCCTAGCCTCGAACTGTCTATTCACAGCCTCGAGCTCTCTGTTCCTATCGTCGAGCTCTGCGTTCCTCCTTGAGGTTTCTAACAACGTCTCATTTGTCCGCAAGAGCGCTTCTGCTTGTCTGAGAGGTAAAGAGAGTAGTAATTTAATGGAAGTAAAAAGAAATAGAAACAACTAAAATAAAAAAATAAATAAACTATCCGCCACAAACTCAAGTTTTATCGCAATAGTTTATTTTTTTTATTTTATTTATTTCTATTTCTTTTTACTTCCATTAAATTTACTACTCTCTTTACCTCCAGACAAGCATAAGCGCTTTTGCAGACAAATAAGGCGCTGTTAGGAACCACAAGGAAGAACACAGAGCTCGACGATAGGAACAGAGAGCTCGAGGCTACGAATAGACAGTTCGAGGCTAGGAACAGACAACTCGAAGCTAGGAACAGACAGCTCGAGGCTGCGAACAGAGAGTTACTTGAAAGATACGGGGAAAGGTAAATTGATAACATACATCGATAATGATAATGATATCGATGTATTTCTTGTAGTGAATTATATCGGATATATGTTTTTTCATAATGAATTATTTATTTTCAGGATATCATTAAAAAACTTGGTGACCTACCAAAACTTGGTGACCTACTTTGGTAGCAAGCAGATTAAGAAAGTAGAAGTCGTCACCAAGTTTTAGAACATAAACTAAAAAAATAAACCAAGTTTTAGTAGAAGACCTTTCAACCACGTGCCCTCAACCAAACCTCCACCACCCTAAATTGCCTAACCCCCACTTGACCATTCTTTTGTGCAAGTACTTCTGGTATAAATTCTCCATCAGAGACATTGCAATAGTCGCCAGCAGCCCCACAGTCATAACTTTGTATGAGACCCTCCCAGCTCAATCAAGTATTTATTCCCCAAATACATCAAAAGTGTTGTAACCCCCTTCAAAAACACTTGGTCGTGCTTAACGATCACGTGTGCAAATATAGCGTCAATCAAGAAAGTCATCCCAAAAAGTGTAGCTATGAGAGCAGTTTTCTCTACCCAACCAATATTAAGCTCTACAATTTCCAGGCAGCTCAAGTTGGAGCATCGCATTCATGATAGCTCGCGCAAAGAAGTATGAGTAGTAGCTCCACCTATTAATCACTGCTACCGTCATCGCGATTATCATTATGCCGACACCCACAAGAAAACTTGGTGATGTTTTCTACTTTTTTAATGTATGTTCTGCTACTAAACTTGGTGATGACAATTGATTTCTGATATGTCGAAATGTGCACGTTTTATATATTTAATAGTGTATTTTTATACATTTAATTTATTTGCATGTTTATATTTTTTGACTTATTTATTATTTGGATAGATTCATTTGTTTTGATCATTTCATACTTATTTGCAGTGCATTGGAGTACTTTGTGAACGTGAGCATTAGACGGGAGTCACACGAGCAATTATCAAGACCCCATAATTAATTTACTACATAGGCTCAAACGTAATTATTTGATTTGGGCCAAGAAATGTGAAACGTGGCCAAATTTATACAAATTGCCCAACATTGATATCCACCCTTCCCAAGAAAACTCACGCCATAGTGGGATTAATTTGAAGGGCTGGACACTTGGTGAGATTTGATTGGCAGACCACTCCATATTGGGTGGAATTATTTGCAAGAGCCGTGGGCCGTGAGTCGTGAGAAAAAGGCCACGAATTATTTACAAAGGAATAAAAACTCACAAGCCATATATATTGGGGAGGGTCGCAAAGGAAGATAGCCGCCATATACCTAGAGGAGAATTTAATTCACGCAGAGCATAACAGAAAACAGAAAGCCAGCAGAGACGAGAAGCCCGATCACTTAGCGGAGGGAAGCCGCACACGAGAAGAATAACTTTATTCTTCTCTTTTCCTTTTTATTTATTATGTTAGCTTAGATTTTATTTCTAGTTCTGGAGAAGTTGAACCCTAAGACTCGACGAATGTCTGATTAATTCTCTTGGTTGGTAATTTCAATATCTTTTGGGATTGTTTGTGTTATTTTAAATAAATCACCCTGATTTGTTGAGTCTGTTTAGCTTGATCACCTAGACTAGGCTTTTCATATCTGCTGCTATATTCAAACTGTTAATCCGTAATTATGGATGTATTTAATCAATTAGAGGCTACCGGAAGATGGTAACTACCGGGGATAACACGGCCTAATTAAATGAATGAAAATTTCGCTACTTAGTCTAGCCTATTTTTCTAATTCGTAAAGCGACTGATTGTATTAAATCTAAGAAGTGTTTTCTAGATTGTACAAGAAGTCAGGTCTAATCGTAGAGAGTCTCGTGGTTAGATTAAAAATAAAGAAAAATTCGAATAATTGATCGTGTTGTTGCCTAGGACTAGTAATTTTATAAGATAACGAGATTTGATACCAAAGTTGATTAGACGAGTCAGTCGATAGTGTAGACGGAACCGTGAACTAGAAAGTTTTCTTCATTTATTTATTTTTATTTTTATTGTTTAGATATTATTTTCTTTATTAGGATTTTAGTTAATTTAGTTCTTAAATTCAAACCCCCTCTCCCCCCTTTTTTTATTGCTATCTTAATTCAATTAATACGAGAAATTCACAATTTGATTCACACTCCTCGTGGGATCGACCCTTACTTGTCACTACTACTAGATGGTAGAAGTTAGTCAAGGAAAATATAAATTTTAATTTTGTCGCGTTGTGACGCGCGGTCAATTTCTACTTTTTAATGTTTGCGCTGTTACTAAAACTTGGTGATGACAATTGACTTCTACTTTTTAATATCTGTTCTGCTACTAAAACTTGGTGACCTACTTTTTATTTTGTTTAAGTACATTGTGATGGCATTCTAAAGTTTTTCTTTCTCTCAATTATGGTTTTTAAGCATTGTTGATACTCTGCATATTATTATGTTTGTTTCAACAAAACTATTTTGTCTTTTTCATTCTCCATATAGGTTTTGATTCAAACATTGAATTTGCTTTTAATTTTGATTTATGACCGAAATACATTTCCATATTACCTCTTTATTTTTCCACATCTTCTTGCTCTTCAGCTCTTTCCTTCTCCTTTACATCCTCTACCACATTCTCGGATAATCCAACATCATCTTGGGTCAACTCATCTGTAAGCATCTCTTTTGAAGCCAGCCTCTGCTCGACTACCTCTACATGAGATCTCGAGTCTTCCAAGACCCTTGCGTAAACCAGGAAACTGAAAAATCAACTCAACTGAATTAGTGAAAATAAAATGACACAACCGCACACGACATTTAACTTAGAGCCTTCCAAAAACCAACTTATGTTTCGCATTTTCTTAATGAAGCATACCTTATTGAGGTTAAAATAGGAACATATATCACGAGAAAAACTTGTAATTTAACTTGTAATTTCAAAATATAGCCACATCATCCCAATTAGCTGCAACCTAATTCAAAGTAAAACTCAAAATAATTTTAGCAACTAAACCTAAGAACATTACAGAAATAAAAAAAAAAATAAAATAAAATAAAATAAAATAAAATGTTAAAAACAAAAACAGAAATCCACTTTACCAGCAGACTCCTTTCGCAACCTCAAATCGTTCACCTCGGGCTAGCCCAATCAACCGCCAGCTCAGGCGCTCGCCAGTGGGTGGCCACCCCTGCCCCACCGGCATCACTAAAGTCGGCTGACTCCTATTTAGATTCCTCGAGAAGTTCACCGTCACCCGAAAGTTCATTAAATGCATGGACATCCAGCAAAACCCACGGCAAAACTGGGAGCCCTCCTGACACTTGTTGATCACAAACTCGAGAGTGCACCCAAACTTCCAGTACTCATTCGCAAACCACTCAAGCAGCAATATATTCTCCTGCGCCTCCAGCTCAGCATTCATTGTGGCATCCCGGAATTTCTTCTGGTCAGCCGCTTGGTCCTTGGTCAGGTTCTTAATCAAAATCTTGCCGGTTGTGGTGTTCTTGAGGATGAATCTGGTCATGTCAAGATTCTCCCAGACAATTAATGTTTCGACGGCCCCCATCTCCAGAACCTTCATTGTGTCATCCACCCCAAAAACATATTTGCCAGTGTCCTGACCATTCCCCTCAAAGTACTTCCTGATCAGGCACTTCTCCTGAATGAACTTGACATTAGAAAGAATATCCGTCGAGAGCTCAATCGCCTGATTGAACCCATTCTCCCCACCGTACGAGACGTCCACCGCATTCAGAATCTTGGCCTGCAGTCGGGGGTCAAACATGTTCGACTGGCTCAGGTTAGTCTTGAAATCGGCCGGGCCAGCAAGGATGAGCCCCGCCACGTTGGGCTGGCTTGTCTGGGCATTGATGTAGAACTGGGTCGCCAGCTCAGCAGCCTTCCTCACATAGTTGTGGCGCTTCTCCTCTCCCAACCGGTAAAAACGCAAGGCAGACTGGCCACCACCCCCGTGCTTCTTAGGATTTCACGGGTGTTGCCGCTCAAGGTCCCAAAGATGATAATGAAACTGAACCAATCATCCGATTTCAACAGCTCGTTCAGGGCTTCGGTGTGGAACTTGTTGTCACAAAGGTAAAGGGAAGAGTTTATGGAACGGAAGGGCTTGAAATGGAACGCGACTTTTTTTTCCTTCCCTTCTTCAGTGACAATAGTGCCCGTGTACAGGACAAGGCCGTTGGGAGGGACTTTGTTGTAGAACTTGAGGCGCTGCTGGGCAGAGGTGATTGCGCCGAGGACCGACTGGCAATTGACACGGCTCTTGATGTTGGAGGCTGTTGCGTACTCATTGTCGAGCATCTTGGCTACACGAGCAATCTGGTCGCAAGGGGGCATGATGAGGGAAATCATGCTTGTCCCGTTTCCATGGGCAGCCTCAAGTGCCTTAATCAGCTTCTTAATCTTCCATATCTCGATGTTCTTGTCGGTTTCTTGACCATCAGCCATCTTTTATCTTTTTTTTTTTCATCTAAAGAAAAACTGTTGAATAGAGGAGAGGGGGCAGGAATTCAAGAAAAAAAAAAATGAAGAAAAAGAAGTGAAGCAAAGATAAACTAAGTTAGCAACACTTGGAATATACAAAGTTGAATGTGTACAAGCAGGACAAACATAAGCAAAAGACACCACAAATTTGGACGAATTAAAGTTACCAACTACATAAAATAGAACTTGAACACTATCCAGAAAGGTCTCAATCACAGAAATTGGTTCCCACTGGAACACTATCCACTTGCAAAATAGAAGCTTATTATTATACAACGGCCTAATAGAGAGTACGGTTTCAGTAAGTCAAAAAAAAAAAGATTAGCCATCATAGATGAAAGTAAATTTTCACATGTGTTTGTTTGTTAAGATGCAGTTCCCGGTTAACAAACGCTGAGGTATAGTTGCAGTGTACGTCACTCATGCTACCACACAGCAGATAAATATTATACAGAAAGATTTGCTAAAAAAATTCTAAGTTCCAGCAAAATCAATGAACTTTCAGGTACACATTATCGAATTTGTTCTCAGCTCGTCCAATTTATTCTACATCTAATTTTAGATGTGCCTAGATACAGC